AGTTTCAAATCCCTCACTCACAAAAAATATATGATATAATTTTTCATGAACTACTGAATATAATCATACTAAAAATGTTATTAATTTAAAAGCCCTCTCCTTACAAAGATTTTGCATAAATCTCAGACTTAAAATATGAATATATTTTCAATTGATATATAAGATGACCGATGTGATTGACTTACGGTTATCGAATGATGGTATAATATATGGTAATTTCATTTACAATGCTTGTATACAACGTACTTGTGACACTCCAATATAATCATTATTATTAAATTTATTTTATTTTTTTTTTTTATTCAAGTGATCTTTTTTATCAGCGTTCGTATTATCAATAATAACAAGCGCTGTRAATGTGAATAAATGCGCGAAAATAACTTGGAAATCATAGAATACTTAAACCATTATGTGAAGATTTKAATCCCACTCTTTCAGCAACATAAGACTATATCCACCTCCCAAAATCATTATTAGAGAGTTTAGATGACGTAAAAGGCATACAAGGCGGACATTCTAACAACTAGGTATATTCCAAATGTGCTGGTAAGTTCAAATTTCCTAGGTCCCATATAGATTCTCCAATGTCCGTGTTCCGCCTTATAGATCATATTCATTAGTGATGTATATTTTAATTGTTATTGCTTCAATAAGAGCTGTGCTCAATCGTATATTTTGTTAAAAACTGCTTCGGTTTTCGCATTCGGCTATAAAATTGGTGAAGGTTCACATTCTCGCTGGATCAATTATTACTATACAGTGAATACAATATAGGATGTAACAGAAAGACCTGACGAATTAAATAACTTTGGTTTTAATCTATTTATATACATTACTCGTAATTATCATCTTTTATTTCATTTTTTAACACTGAAAATAAGAAATTAAAACTAATGTACTTAATTGTCTTTTTGAAAAATCTAAAATAATCAATTTGTAATTCGTGGTTTTAGAAAAATTTAGATTGTAAAATATTTATTTAAGTCAATAAAGTTTTCACAGTTAATAGTTTTCTAAAAAAACAAATTTTAAAATTGGCTATTTAAAAGAAAAAAGAATAAGATTTATTTTTTTATTTTCCGTATTAAATAATAATAATAAAAAAATGTTATACTATTATACTTGTAGCGTACAAATCAATTAACGGAAGATTTTGATAAATAAAAAAATATTTAAAATACTGATTTAATTTAAATAAAAATGTTATTTAATTTGTGAGGCGTTTTAGTTATACCCTCTATACTACTATAATATAAAATATAATATTTGTGTAAGTCTGAATGTACAACTATTTCGTTCTCTCTATACCAAATACGGTACAAACAATTATTTGTAAAATACTAAATTATGATAACTACAAGTTCTATGTAAATTGTATATACAGCTAGGACACATGGTTTTAACGGCCACGCGCATTCAATATATTTATGGGTAACCACCAAATTGATATATTATTATAATGTACCTATTTGTGCAGTGTGTAAACCGATAATGCTTTTCTCCCTACAAACTATAAATATATATATATATATAATAAGGCTATTAACTCAATAAGAGATTGACAAAAATTGTGTTGATCTGTAAACAAATATATTTTATTAACACGAATGAATATTATATTATGATTATTTTTATTATATACAAAATACCTGTAAACAAATAAACGACAATTTAAAGTCTTTAGCCTATTATTATAATTGACTTTAAATATAATTATAATATCAAATAGTACTATACACAWTATATAATCATTATAACATAACTAAATAACTTATATCACATTTTCAACAGATACATAATAATAATAATAACAAATACGTTGTTTTAAACGTATTGTTGATAACAGCAATACTGATAACAATGATAATAAAGAAGTATATTTCTTTACATATAYATATATATGATTATCATTTGTACGTGTATTATTATATGGTACACGTCTGMTGTGTGACTAAACACGCAGCACAAAAACGTCTCGGTGGTCTCATCATGTCTCTCTCTACCTCGTTMTTTTCACARAACAGTTTTTTGAACGGTGAATTTACGGAGTTTATTAGTACCGCAGTGAAACGATTAAGTCCCCTAATCGGCATCGTGGCTACGTATAAACACAGAAGCGAAGAAGAAAAAAATAGCGCCTACACACGAAGCGCGTGTGCGGGGCAAACGGTTTGGCGCCAGAAATATGAATTTACAACATCTGCATTTAAACGTGTACGGAGAAAAAAAAATATCAGTACTGACATTGCCAAACGGGATCGTGTGATGCGACGACACGGAACATTGTGCCGGAGTTTTTCCGTTTAGTGCAAACAATTCGTTTGCTTTCAATACAGATAGAAAAATAAAATAAAACCGTAAGCAACACAAATAAAAAATAAGCGTACACTTTTTTTCAAGGGATATTGTCCTATTCCACTTGTGTAATATTTGAAATAATAATTTTCATTTATTCTTTTTTGCGATCTGAATTTATTTACATTACGATATATTATGACACATTGGTTAATATTTTCGCAGTAAACGATTAATTGTTCTTTCAAAAGTATATTTATATATTTAGGTTAATATAGAACCTTAAACTCGAGTGCATTGGACTGATTGACTCTATGCAATGATCTAATATAAATCCAATAATACATATAATGAATTCGATCACTTAATAAGTTTAATTTACAACCAAAGAAGTAGTTTCAAATACTAAACATAAATTTATCGACCAAGAAAAATTGTTACGACAAGAGCACAGCAAAAAAYGTATGGAAATTTAAAAATAATATTAAAAAATTATGAATGCTTATTAAAGCTAAGATTTTAACATCAATACGCATTTATTTGTTTTCCCGGTGTTTCTAGTACCTACAATCTTRTAATCAATTATTATGGATAATCATTTTGCTGTTCGCGCATTTACATATTATTATTAATTATTAGCCATTAAATCCAAATGATAATAGCTATTTTCATAACTTTTAGACATTTTAAAACAATTCGAAGAAATATCTACTAACACACCTATGTTTATTGCAATGAACATATCAGTGTATTGTTCTTAGCATTTATGATTTATCTATGAATAGTATTTAAAAATAATGCTATTACATGTAGATTCAGATAAAAATACTAAATAAAATTCCTACATAATACATTAAGATCTGATAAAATTTCCAGTACTATCGCGATGACAGATATAAAAAAAAAAAAATAATTCGACTCTTGAGTTAATCATATTATTTTTTTAAGCCATAATAAGTTTTTTTATAATTATCATTCTTTACAAATTGAAAATTTTTTTTATAAAAATGTAAATGAATGACATTAACTAGAAGCTAGTTTTGCCCTTTTAGTTATATAACTTACGATTTCTAAAATTTAGTTTATAGATGATTTTATCGAGGAAAATTCTCAACAGGTTTTATTTTGTTTTTGAAATAATATTAATACGTATGTACATTTTAAAACTTACATTTTGTAAAACTAAACTATGTTATTTCTATCCCAATTAGTATTTTCCAAATTAAATAGAGTTTTTTTTTTTTTTAATTTATTCAATCATCAATTAGAGTTTCTTAGTTTCTATAAATTTAATGGTATTATAATATTAATAACATTTTAATATTATTTTAGATGGCTCATATACAAATCCCATAACTAATTTAAAATTGAATATCAACCGCTTTAATAAGCGTATTTAAAAATTTTACAAAAATGTATGCTTTCTATTTTTAAAATAATAATCATCAAAACCTCAATGCTGGTGKATATCTTAAACTAAGTATTTTTTACATTATTCTGTTTTTCAGCTTTATAGGATGACACCAACGTTGAATTCTGAACATGAATATTTCATACATTTATKAGGTAGTTAATTTTTATGGACAGAGAATTTACAAGACTAAGATACTTTAATTAAGTTATTTCCAAAAGAGATATAYTGAAAATGTATCGTAATGTTGCAATTTAGACATMACGGAGATACATTGCTGTAGCATTCTTCATTCAGATGAGCAGGATTGGGATTTTATAGCACTTAAAATTGTATAAATATGCGCTATAATATTACCCCTTAAATATTGCAAAATTTTTTTTTTTTTTTTTTAGGGGTTTATTGGGCCTTTAAGACCATCCCGTCTCACAACCAAGCTTCCATCCTTCTCTATCCAAAACTAGATTTCTCCAATTGGAACAACCTCCCAACTGCTCAACGTCCTTCTTTACAACATCTTCCCATCGCATTCTTGGTCTTCCCAGAGGCCTTTTACCTACAGGGTTTTGTTCAATCACTGCATGTAAAAGTGGATTTTGGCTCCTCCAGGCATGRCCAGCCCACCGWAGTCTTCTTAAATATTCAACAAAAAAAAAAGGAAATTTATTAATTAATAATTTTTTAATCACTTACGATTGACTATACAACGAATTCAACGCTCGTTCATCAGCGATTAATAATCACAGTAGAAATCGGCAAAAACACCCAACATTATCAGCAGATAACATAATACAGAAAAACAAGTACCTAAACGAAAATTGTAATATTATATTATACCTATATAATATCATCGCTGTAATTGTTAAGCGTTGCATCGGTGGTCTAGTTAATTAATC